AATGACTGTCTGAAACCGTAGCTCATCGCAGAAATAGGCCTGAAAGTGCGCATGCGCAGAAAATATAGCTAACGAGACGAGCACGTAGGACGGCCTGACGTAAACATATCACCAGAATGATTGACAATTAGAAGGACCACTTATTTAGGTGATCCACCTGGAGATAAAAGATTGTCCTCTATAGCTTTAATAATTCATTAAAAAAGTTAAAAGTAAACCAGCCTGAACTAAAATATTGTTCAGCAACAATTTTAGGCAATAATCAGTGAAATCAGGTGTTTTCTGTAACCTTCATGAAACCTTCAGCTTTCTGCTCCTGTTGGCAGATATGTTGGTTCACTTTTCATCAGTAACTTTTGTCCAAGACAGTTTGTTTTCTAGAAGGATAATTTTTTTATCTAAAAATTCAAAATCAATATTTTATTTTACTAAATTATCTTTCAGTAAATGTATATTTATTCTTGTTTTTTTCAGTTTTGTATTTAAATTAAAAGTGTGAATATTTAATTTTCTTTATTGGGAGGGTATGTTAAACTTCAAGCACAAATTTATATGTGCAAAGTGTTTAAAACTTGTTAAGTCTGTTATCTTTATTAGGGTCACAGAAAGCAAACCGGTGAGGTGGTGCAGAAAAATGATCCTCCTTTGTTCTCTTTCTGTTCAGATCCTTTTTTAGTTTTCTAATCAGTTAAATGTAGCTCCTTAAAATGCAGCATCAGAGATCTGATGGCCTAAAATGAGTCAGTCTGTGATGTATCCTCTGCTTTTAAGGAACCTCAGCTTCTGTTATAGAATAAAAACTAAAGCCTAGTGTTTGGTTCTGTTTGACTTTATGGATAAATTCTCTAATAAACACTAAATAAATGCCTCTGTGACTTTTTTTCTTAAATTTTTCTCTAATTGCAGCTGATATAAATAAAGTTATGCACGCCAAGAAGAAACGCCTGGAGTGTTTGACAAAGAACTACATGAAGGGAAGCCAGCACAAACTAGAGCAGCTTTGGACCAGCTACCATGGACAGAGGTTCTTTCTATTTTCTGAATAGTTCTCCATGTCCCCTGAAGGACAATTAAAAGCCCTTCTGATGGTGTTCTCCTACGTTTTATTTTTTGTCGGATCCCTCAGTAGTTGAATCATTTTCAGCTCCAGGTCTGATGTTTTTTTTTCCATGTTGGTTTTCATTGCATTTTGTTGATCTAACACAGGTTCATCCTGAATCATTGAAAAGGTCATCTGATGTATTTTCTATTGATAGTGATCAGGTTCATATCAATGGTGTTTTATTGTGTCGGGCTGGAAACTGATTCTAGTTTCAAGAATCAATTAAATTCCGATTCTCAAGATTTAGAATACGTTTTTTCTGATCTCATTTGATTTAAAGTTGTAGGGAATTCATATTTAAATGTTAGATCATTCTGGCTTAAACATGTATATAAATGTACTCTTTATTTAATCAAATTTTGAAAATTTCTATTTAAAAAAAAATCCTGTCTTAATATCTGTTTTTTTCCCACATTATCTCATGCAGGCCAGTTAGTTATTCCTCAGCCTGAACACCTAAATTCGGCCAATCATATATCAACGGTCATCTGTCAATCAAAAGTTTTCCATCATAGCATCTTGATTCATACGTCGCAGCTAATATACGCAACGGTTGAAATGAGAATCCTTTCCTTTCCCATTGAGTTCCATCCCAGTGTTCACGGGGATGGACGTCTGTGTCTTCAGCAGACATAGAACTAA